CTGCGGCGCCCGGCGAGGCGGCCGGCGAGTGGGCCGGCGAGGCGGCCGGCGACTGGGCCGGCGAGGCGGCCGGCGGCGAGGCCGGCGAGGCAGCCGGCGGTGAGGCCGTCGAGGCGGCCGGTGAAGCGGCCGGCGATGGCGCCGGCGAGGAGGCGCCCGACCCCGCGGCGCCCGAGTCGGGGGCGGCGGGTGAAGGCGGGGCGCCGGCCGTGGAAGGCGCCGGCAGTAGGGCCCGTGGACCGCCAAAGCCCGGAGGCGGTCCACGAACCAGGCGTGCTCGTCCACCTGACGAGGTCGTCGATGAGCCGCCGGTGGCCGACGGTGACGAGACGACGAGGGGTGCCTGCTGCTGAAACGGGAAGACCATCTCATCAAAGTAAACGTGTCGGGAGGTGAAAACACGGTGAGAGACTGGATCGTAGCAGCGGTAACCCTTAGTGTTAGGTGGATAGCCGAGAAAGATGCAGGTGACGGAGCGGGGTGCAAGCTTATGAGGCGCAGTGGCAGCGATGCTAGGGTAGCACAAGCAGCCGAAGATGCGAAGCCCTTCATAAGAGGGGGGTGCACCAAAAAGAAGGTGGTGAGGTGTAAAGTTCCCGCGAGTACGACATGGACGGATGTTGATGAGAAGAGAAGCGGTGGCTAGAGCGTCAGGCCAAAAGCGCGGAGGCACATTGGCGTGAAAGAGAAGAGTCCGAACGCAGTCATTAAGAGTGCGAAGGATGCGCTCAGCACGACCGTTCTGCTGCGAGGTGTACGGGCAAGTGAGACGAAAAATCGTGCCATGTGTGGCGAGAAGATCGCGGACAGCGGTGTTGTCAAACTCCTTCCCGTTGTCTGTCTGCAACGCAAGAATGGGCCGGCCAAACTGCGTGCGGACATAAGAGTAGAAACCGACAAGAGTGGAGATAACGTCCGACTTGCAGCGCAACGGGAAGGTCCACACATAATGCGAAAAATCATCAAGGATAACAAGATAATAAAGAAAGCCCGTGTTACTTGCAACAGGAGATGTCCAAACATCACTATGAATCAACTCAAATGGGTACGATGCAACAAAGGAAGAAGCCCTAAACGGAAGACGAGCATGTTTGCCAAGGCGGCATGCATGACACGAGTGATCCTCGTTCTTATTACACGTGAAAGAAAAACTCCGAAGTATGTGGCGAAGGGTGGCAGGATTAGGATGACCCAAGCGAGCGTGCCAGAGATCCACCCCGGTGGCGAGAGCGACAGGAGCGGCGGAAGTGGTGGAGGCGGCAGAGTGAACCGGGTAGAGCTCGTCGGGGCTGTCACATCGGTGGAGCACCATCCGCGTGCGAGCGTCCTTAACAGAAAAACCACATTCGTCAAATTCAACGGTCACCGGATTTTCACGGGTAAGAGAACGAACGGAAACAAGATTTTTAATAAGATCAGGAGAAACAAGAATATTAGACATAGATATAGGGGTGGAGTTAGACGGAAAATACGTATGTCCAATATGGGTGATAGGAAGAGAAGAACCGTCACCGACGGTGATGCGGTTGGAGGTGTGGACAGGGTGAGCAGTATGGAGGTTACCGGGGTACGCCGCCATATGAGCGGTGGCGCCACTGTCCATGTACCAATCGCCGCCGCCGGTATAGCTGGACGGAGAGGGGGCGGTGTGGAGAGCCGCCAGGAGAGACGGGTCCCACGGCGCCGGTGGGAGGGACGGCGCAGACGTCAGGGGCAGCAGCGGCGGCCCGCCTGGCGGCTGCTGCCCGTAGGGCGCCGCATATGGCTGCGGCGCGGCGTAATACGCCTGGTGTGACGGAGGCCGAGTGCCGAGAAGACCCGGAGTAGGAGCCCGTGGAACCGGCATAGAATAGGCGTGGACGACGCCGGTCCACGGGTTCTGACCGGCGTACCATGGGGCCGCCGGCTGAGGGGCCGGCTGCTGCTGGCGTGGCGCTCCTCCCTGAGCACCGCCACCGCCACCGCCGCCTCCCTGCTTGCGGCCACCCCGGCGGCCGCCGCGACGGCCTCCTCCATTGGCCGCCGGCTGGGGCGGCGGGAAGAGGGCTGGTGGGGCGGGCGGGAAGCCCGGCGGGAAGGCGGGCGCCGCCTGCGGGGGCGGCGTCTGGCGAGGCTGTGGCGGGGCCGAACCCCCGCGGGTGCCGGCAACAAGGGCCGTGTGGGTGGCGCGCGTCCGGGCCGCCCGCATCCGGCGTTCCTCCAGCTTGAGGTACGCGACCACCTTGCCAAAGGTGGGCTCTGGGATGAGGGTGAGGTTGGAGGCGGCGTTCCCGAAGTCCTCGTTGAGGCCGCCGGAGAGGGTGCTGATGAGGAGCTCGTCGCCAATCTTCTCCCCCAGATCACGGAGCTCATCGGCGAGCTTCTTGAGGCGCATGCAAAAATCATCGATGGACGAGTCAAGTTGCTGGCACCCGTAAAACTCACCATAGAGGAGGACCTTGCGCTGCAGCCGATTGTCGGTGAAGAGGCCGTTGAGCTTGGTCCAGACCGCGTGGGCGTCATCCTCGTCGTTCACCACGGTGTGGAAGATGTCGCTGGAGATGGTGAGGTAGAACCAGCGGATGATGGTGGCGTCGAGGATCATCCACTCCTCGTCGTGGATCATGAGCGCGGAGTCCACGGTGCCGTCCACGTGGCCGTGAAGGAGGTACTCACGGAACACGAGCGAAAAATACCGCTTCCACGCGGAGTAGGAGGCGGTGGTGTGGTCAAGCTTGACCGGGACGCGCTCATGGATGTTGAGGTCGCGGACGAGGGTGACATCGGGACCGGCGAACGGGTTGGAGACGGTGGATGAGGAAGAACTCATGGTGGCGGCGGGATCGGGTGAGAGGCGCGGCTCGGGTGGGAGGGAGAGGTGGTGCGGCGCGGGTGGGAGGGAGGCAGAGAGGAGCGGCGCGGGAGGGAGAGGAGCGGCGCGGGAGGGAGAGGCGGAAGCGGCGGAGCGGCGGCGGCGGCCTCGGACGGGAGGCGGCGGCGGCGGCTAGCGGGGCGGGTGGATTGAAAAAGTCAGTCATTCACAACCACTGATGAAGGATTCCTCGAAAAGTTAAGGATTAGTAGTTCTTTTTCGAAATCGATTTCGAAAAAGAATGGATTCGGTCTTATACATACGCGAGGAAGGTAATCAAAAAAGAGAGAAGACGAGTTCTTCTTTCTTTTATCACTTAGGAGCCGTGCGAGATGAAAGTCTCATGCACGGTTTTGCATGAGAGAAAGAAGCGGGGGCGGCGGCGGCCGAAGGGAGGGCGGCGGCGGCGGCGGGAGGCGGCGGCGGCGGCGGCGCGGAGGCGCGGCGGCGGCGGCGGCGACGACGGCTAGGGTTAGGACCTTACTGCGATAGATACCATGTAGAGAGACAGATTATGGGCTGTGCAATCGCGATGTATTGATCGGTGCACCAGGCACGTATATATAAGTACAAAGGTGGGCCACAACCTCAACTATACAAGGAAACAGGAGGTGGGCCCTACACACACATATACACGTACACAATATACTCAACAAAAACAAACGACCACGACAGTCGCTTACTGTAAGAATCTAATCGTGTGAAAACTTAAAACTAGCTAATGACTTTAGCTGTACTGGCACACGGCCATATAAATTACTTACACTCCCGGAAAAAATAGTACTTACACATCGCAACATCTCGCGAATCAGCAGTCTTTGCCCAGTATCCAGGAGCTTGGTGCAGCCCAGCAACTACGGCCACACAGTCCTTACCAAGTTGCAATTCTTCTTATTTCCATCGCCTAGTCTCCGCGCGTGATTAGATATAGAGGGAACTCGTTGACACCAATGTTATTGATCGCGGGAATAAGAATGGACGTCGTGTGCAAGCGTCTAAGAGGTGCGTAAAGGATTAGCAACAATTCAAAGTGAAACAACGAACAACTGTGGATACGACAGAGTAATTCGTCGATGCAACCAATGTCAATGTAGAACGTACCCTAGGCCTGTTTTCAACAAATTTAAGTGGAGGCCACACAGTTAGTCAACAAATTTAAGTGGAGGCCACATAGTTAGTATAGCATGTACAAATAGCGTGCTCATGTTGATGTTCTTTTACTGTTTTTCTTTATAGATTTGTAACACAGTAACAGCTATTGTGGTTATTTTCAGGTACGCAGATTGTTCAAGTGACCTGGAGCACTTTTCAATCTGCTGCGTTGGTAGTTTCACGACATCAGGTATATATGATAAATATATTCTACCTCTGCCTACTCCCATTGGCACAAAATGCTCTTAGCAAGAGGAGAACTACTTGAAGGCAAGTGACAAAGAAAATAACTTCACTAGGCAAACCAACAGAATGCCCTTTCCTAAAACCATGTCTAACATTCTTTTTACATATTCCGAGGCATTTGCGGAGTGATTGTGTCATCTTGTTTACTGCTATAACGTGTCTTCAGTGATTGTAGTGGAGAATTGCCACTCTAAAGGCTCAGGTAATAAACACGAGCACAATGCAAAATGACAAAAAGGTAACAGGACACAATATTATATAGATCTGTGCATTTACCTGTTCTTGTGATCGAAAATACATGAATGGAGTGTAGTGTAGAAAGTTTGAAACCCTTGAAGTGTATATATCAGCATATCTACAACAAAGGAAAAATAGTTGCATTTACACAAATAAGCCAGTGGTCTATAAAATATGCAGCAATACGAAAACATAACCACTCACTTCTCAATTTGCCTGGTTAGATGACTCTTGTCCCATAGGCCAGCGCGTGACAGCCAACCCCATCTTAAAGAGGAAATAACATTTGCTTAGTTTATCTTACTACAATTAGATCGTATGCAACAAACCAGGAGATATATGAACGACATAGGACATTAGTTCCAGAGTGACGGGAATTGTAGACATTAGAAATAAGAAGCAAAATAGAAGTTATGCCCTGAAATTTTTACAGCAGCCAAACTTAACAGCCATTTCTTCTGCGAGGAACACATTTGATGTGGAAGATATGCTGGAAACGACACATTTTTTGTACGTCTTGACATAAAATATGCTCATAGGAACTTGGCAGTAGTGATCGTTATACCTTTTATTGAAAAGTTCTCCATCTGATTCCAGCAATGGCACGATCTTTTCATCTAATCTCTGCATAACAATGAGCAACTTTTGCATACTTTCTGTAAGCTCCTGATCATTCATACAAGTTGCAGCAAGCGTCTAGAAAAGAGTGAAATCGAGATATTAGCGCAAGCATATTAAGAACTCAACAAAATCGTCAGAGCCTGCAAGCAGAAACAAAATCATGAGACTATCTTTGCTTTTGGCTTAAGCTGTAGGTAGTTTCTATGCTGCACCAGTGTTCAGTGAATTGCTGAAATTGTGTTGTTAACTGGTAAAATCTCAAGCTACAAGAGGGAAACATGTTAAATCTTACAAAGGCATTTTTTCACCCTACTACCTGTGCAGGACGTGAATTTGTGCGTCTCTGCAGAGCCAGGCGAAGTTGGTTGAAAAGGTCTCCAACAATTTCCTTTTGTTGTATAAGTGTGACAAGCTTTTCTTTCTGAGCATGGCTTTTGATTAGTGCGTCAAACTGCAATACAGGAGGGGGGAAATTGGTAGCTAGAACAAAAATACTTTTATCAGCAATATGGCACAAACATTAAAACTAAATATAATCCTTTTCTGGGTTCTATTTCAGAGAATTCAGGATCAACAGATGCAAAATATTTCAAATTGACATGGTTAATAGATAACTGCATCATCAGAATTCAGTCCCTCCAAATCAACATGCTGCAAAGTACTTAGATCCCTCTAAAGTTGTGATTTCATCAGTTCGAAATAGATAGACCTAAGTAGCTTGCTTCATGCTTATGCTGAGTTTAGGGACCAAAGAAGGTGACGAATTTATGTACCTAAGTGGGGCAATGGGAAAAGTCTAAGGATCTCTGGTGCAATTTACTCAAGCAAGTAAATTATGTTAAAATGAGTTCAGAAATAAAATGCAATACAGGGAAGCTACCAGTGATAGACTAATAAACTTCTGATAAAAAAAAGCTTATTTACCTCCTATTCCTATACCTAGAATGTGATATACTAATTATAAATGCTATTTAGAACTCGGTTTTGTATTAATTGGTGAGAAAAGTAAGCAACCTAACCTCATCTTCCAGTTCTCGGCATATTAATGCTGTCCTCCATCGTAAATGAACCTTTGATTGGCTCACATCTGTAAAAATATGGTCCCCTACATATAATATTTCATCCCCATGAATATCTAGTGACTTCTCAACCATCTGAGCACTACCACCAGAGTACAGGCCACCTAAATACCCAATTAAGAGAAGAGATATGAGTCAGTCAACACACACAAAAAATCCTGGTCAAGCAGGCACATCAGAAACAGACACATGAACAGAAAAGAAATAAGACATGAAAGTTGCAGGATCTAGCAACGTAAGCATAAAAAGGCCAAGGAAGGGAGGTAGCTCATCTGTGGATGAAGATGAACAATGAAACTATAACTGCAAATCATCTTTAAGATCCATAATTATTTTGCAGAAGGGTGTAGTGAAGCAAACCTCATGACTCACGTTATAATACCAAAACAAATACATGTGCATGTCTCTTATGTGATTGCTGGCACATGCACTTTGTCATAGTGGCTATAAAATGGTCAGTGTGCATTTAGATCGTATAAATTCATACGTTAGAGCTTTTATAAATGGTATGTATAATTTTTTTTATTCCTATCTTATCATGAAGTGTTATTTTATTTTTACAAGTATTTATTTCTTGGTCGATCTGAAATATGTCTACAAGTACTTATATGATTTTCCATCAATACTTTATTTTGTTTTAGAAAATTGGGCTTCCAAATCAATTATTACCATACATATTGGCAGTCTGAAATTTGAATGTGGTTCATTACAGTGCAAAAAGAACAGAACAAGTCGAGATTCTATAGAATAGAACTATAGAAGTTAGATTACAACAGTAACAATGTTGAGATTTTCACCTGAATTTGCCTTAAAACAGGGACGCAATAAACCATCTTCAGTAACAACCTCGTACAATGGATGCGAAATTTGGAAAAACTCTGGTTTCCTCGCGGAGACTATAACCTACATTAATACAGAATCGACTAGTCTTCATGAAGTTTGAGTATGATGATAAGCAAAGACTGAGACACAGTTACCTTTAACGTTATCAACATAGAAGGGACATAAATACTCACCATTTCAAATAGATCTCTCCATCCCATATCATTAGGAAGAAAGCGATTGAATGCATGATTCATCATTTTGTTTGTATAGTGGTAATCTGAGTTAGTAATAAGAAGCAACCTTTTTCCAGCCTGATGAGTTGAAAAGGGAAAATCAGTCATTTAGTACAGTAGTATAATGGCTCAAATATTCAAATGGATCATGGGCTGTTAAGGTGACAATATGTTAACCTCCTTTTGATCTAGAAGAGCTAGTGGCAGTTCTGGATCAGGCTCGACAAATCGCTCGGGCTCAGCCATTATTTCGCTCTACATTTCAACCAGCTAAAGAAATTTTAAGACCAGTATCAGTCGTAAGTAAATATATAACGACAAAAGGTTACCTTGAGTTGACCTTCTACATGTGCTCGAAAAAGTGCTTTGGAAACAGCCTGAAATCAACATAGTCCGAATGTTATGACACAACAAGCACGGTCATGCAAAAGAAGCAGCAATGCTCTTACATTGTACAGCCCTTTGTAATCCAGTGGCCCAAGTTCAGCAGGCACCAACCCCTGATCCAACTTGTCAACCATCTGAAACAATAAGAATGACATGTCATTCATGTCTATAAAATTACAAAAATATCATTCAATTTAAGATTGAGAAAATGTTTATCATGACAGGCACAAGGTTATCACCCTGTTATTTGTTTACGGGTTTGCTTTAAAAACATAGCAAATATTTCCTGGATGAATTAAAGCAGGACTAATCATGTTAATGTATATGTCTTGGGGGTAAATACGGTTCAATTTGTGAACACACGGTAAGCTGGATGAGCTTCTTCAAGGAAATGCTTAATCAAATGCCCACTGGAAACTACTCCTTCATTACTGCTACAAACCCCACTACAACCGAAAAGAATAACAACCTGGTATCCTCACATGTCATCATTTCTGTAAATTAATCTGTACATTAAATTAATGTACGAGCCTAAACTGTAACATATGTCATACTCCGCTCCCCCAGAAAACAAGGACACATTTTCATGGATGAAAGAGAAGAGCACATTAAAATAGCAGGAACTTTCGTCAAGCTAGGATTGGTATCGTATTTTCCCCTTATTTTAAACCACCTTTGCAATTCTTACCAAGTCTTTTACTGACATTGACAAATACTCTGCTTCTAATGAAATGATCTATATTTGAGAGAGAAATCAACTGACGATGGTAGCATATGTAAATGTGAATGATAGTTGTTTATTTAAATGAATACCTACATATCAAGTGGCATCACACAAGATAGTTAACAGATTAAGGAAAAGGTAAGTGACCTGCATGAACATGACAGCTTCTGAAACAGAGAAAAGGGTATTAAGGAACTCCCATGTATCTTCTTTCCGCAGGTCCACCAACTCTCGTCCATATATTTCACTACACGCAAGCATTAATAAGAGTTATAATTCTCCAGCAGCAACAAAATTGACAGAAAAACCTCATCTATGTCTACCTCACAGCACGAGTGGGCAACATTTGGGTACCGTGCATGACCCTCTTGATGTACCCAAAACGGTCAGCTTTTACCAAGTTTCCTTTTACTTTATCCATAATAAGACCCCTAATAACCTGTGAAAGAGTAGTCATGTCACTAAGGGTTATGTATGCCTTCTGCGGTATTACGATAGAGTGCACACGGGTACACTTACCAGGTCAGGATCAAATTCAAGGTCGTCTACTAGGAAACCCATGCTCTTCAGGTTGCCCATCCCATAATCATATGCACGCCCTTCCCAGGCCTACACAAATTTCACAAGACGTCGTTACTTTATATAATTTTTACCATAATAACTATAGTGAAAAACACAAAGAACATTCACTTCATCTAATCCAAGATTTGAGGCTCTATGGAGAGAAGAAAAAACTACAAATAGGATAACTCGTAGTTAGCAGTTAGCACTCATACTGTCCTGCATATGTAATTTTCAGAATTATACATGCCATATCATTTCAGCAAATATGTTAATTTTCTACTTATGCATCCCTCGTTTTCAGAGCATTTAGTAGACAAATCAAGAAAATGGATGTTGAAGTACCATCACGTTGTAATGAATCAATGTATAATCCATGTCATAGCCAATGACACTGATAGATCGAAGATTTAGTGTCCTGGTGCAGAAAATTCCACGAGGAGAGTTCCTTACTGTTAAAGGATCCTGCATTTAGCAAATAGACAGCAATCTTGTGTCACTGGAAGGGTGACTAATTTCTCCATCATCATGATGCTCGATCAAGATATGATTGGCAAAAGAAAAAGAAAAACAATGGAAGTTCAGAATAAAACATTAGCAGTCATAGAATAACCGCAAAACAAATCTATTGTTCCACTGTCCAGAATTTATGGTTAAACGTTTACTTGCAACTTGAGTATCATCTATTCGTCCATTTTGGTAATATTTTTTGTTTTTGCCGTTATCATGTTTCCGCTGCAGTTGCTATCCACTAAATGAGTAAATATTGGGCAATTTCAAACTACTTCTAAATAAGACACTTCAATAGAAATTAGGAAATTACTTAAGTGAAGTGCAATTAGGTAGCCTTTTTTGCAAATAAATTAGGTATGTGTTTAAAGAGAAACATATGGATTTTGTTAATCATCTATCCACTAGAAAAAACAGCCATGAAACAATTTTTCCACTATAGATAATCCTATCGAATTACATTACATATAGCTTTAAAGGCTTTATGAATATTATTACCTCCATATCATTTTTGCTTGATACTCTTATTTTACTTTCTCGGTTAATGTTATTACAATTAATGAGAAAATCCATGAAAGTTCTATTTCATCACAAACCGAGGTCCAGGAAGCAGATTTTTATTTTTACTTTTTATAAAAAAGGAAGATTCTAGGCGGAAGTTCTAAGTAACATTGATCGAAACATTAGTAATAGTTCTATAAAATAAATGTTACATAACACGAAAGAATAGAAGAAGCATACCAAACATCAGCAAGGTGAAAATCATGCTAATGGGGTACGGAGTAGAATATTACTGCAATTCCCAGGTCACTGAGTAACGTTTCAGCTTGTCTCGCTTCTTTCCAAGCTATCTCCTCTATAGGACCATGCAATGTTGACTTTCCATTCCCACCTGAAATTCAAGAATTTAGGAGTAACTAGAACAAATTTCTAGCACAATTCTGATACAGTTACGGTGCGTTCCATCGGGAAAAAGAGTATATTATGCCTGATGCTTTTGTCAGACATATGATCGTGTGGTGTCGCCACAATAGTTTCATCAACAAGATGACATCCGCTCAGCAGAGAGGGAGAACTAGCTCAGAATTAGGGAGGTCGGAGCTCACCGAGCGCGTCGAGGTGCCTCCTGCGCACGTTCAAATCCCCCTTGGTGCTCTCCCCGAGGTAGTCCACCTCTGACAGCCTCGACGATGTCACGGAAAAGTACGGCTCCTCATCGTCGTCGTACTCCTCGCTCGGCTCCCCCCTGACCGCCGACGGCTTGCTGGCGTCGAGCGCGTGGCACCGGAGCGACAGCGCAGAGCCTGGGAAGCGGAGGCGAGCCCAGACCCCGAGGCATTGCGGCTGTGGCGGCGGCACTCTGGAGCGCTGCGTAGGCGACAGCCGCGGCGGGAAACAGAGGCAGATGCGCCGCATGAGCTCGACCGGGTCCGCCATTGCCGCGCGCGCGCTGCTGGGGTGCTGGTTGGTTTGCCTTTAGCTGAGACCGGGAGCGACCGCGGATGCGGGGAGTGGATGGGGGAGGTGGGAGGTTAGTGGGGAGTGGGGACGCCGGCACGGTGTAAATTGAGAAAAAGTTCGAGATACTTTTGAAAAACTCTTTTAAATTCCCTAAGAAATTTCAAATACAGGTCCAACAAAAAGGCTGAAATACGCCCATTTCTTAACTCTCTTCTAACACGCCAGATTCATGCTTACTCGCAACAATTATTGAATTGCTCTCTTCAATGCTGAAGGTATTTTTCATGCTTCCCACGTCTACTGCTTGAGTCACCTTATAAAATGTCAATAAAAGTAATTTTTAAACACGGTACAAACGCAAATGTTTTTATATATAGTGATGATATACACACACTCATCCTTATAAATGCATGCATGCACACTGTAATCTTAGGAGCACCTTTGAAAATTTGAACCAGCACATCATGTTTAGGCTGACGAAGTCATCACAAATATCTTCATAGTCGACAGAAGCACCTCCTTTCATTGAACGAACATCGCTGAAAAGTCTAAAAAAATATTCAGAAAAATACAGTTGTGTTATATCTCTTTGAGGACGAGAACAACTCTATTAAATCGAGATAAAATTAGAAACTCTAGAATCGATATCATAAAAATTGCCATGCGGAGATCACACATGAGAAAAATGTTGACATGCCAAAATAACACCCACATCTCATAAACCCAAAGCTCAGGTGTTACATACTTACAATGGGTGATGTCAGCTTCTCACCGAATTTTGGGTAACCTCTCCATTTTGTCAATGAGGTTGCAATTGTGCACAATCTTCTAACAGCCCTTTCTCTTGGCATGTCATATTAATATCAGTTGGTCTCTAGCATTAACTCACTATCGGACTCGCGGTCTATGCCTACGGCCAAGGGCCGTCGGCATAGGTCATTTGTCGTCGGCATAGATCTATGCCTATGGCTGTCGTCGGCATAGACCCGTCGGCGTAGATATCGTCAGCGTAGTCTTGTCAGACCGTCGGCATAGTATAGCCGTCGGCATAGGGACCTATGCCGACGGTCGGTGTCAGCCGTCGGCATAGTTTAGCCGTCGGCAGTGTTTTTCCGTCTGACGGCAACGGACGGCGCCGTCAAAAACGCTGACGAGTCATGGGACGCCACGTGGCAGAGGTACGCCGACGGCTTGGCCGTCGGCATAGGTAGAAATCTATGCC